CAACACATACGAACTTCGCTTCGGTAACATGCTCTTCATTCGTCATGACTGGGTCATATGCATTCTCAAGCCATGAAAATAAAATTAGATAACAGCAAGTGAACTACTTACACATCTATAGCGAACTGTGGAGTTGAACGGGACTTTATTCCTCATCATTATAACGCTAAGCATCACGATGGCCGTCAATGGAAACCAATCGGCGTGCTCTGGAAGATTCCTGGGCTGTTGGGCTCCTGCCAAATCACATGCAAATGCTCCGCCGAGTTGCTACACTCTGCGTGTTCATCGACGTCAGCTGATCGTAACGCAAAAGCAAGAGTGTTGTCAAGTGAACTCATTTCCTGCTCCTCCTTTTTGTTCATATACAAACAAACGAAAAATGCACCGGAACGTACCCAAATCCGGGCCCCCATTTTTACATCCATACATGCAATGGATACCTTACGTAGTTACACAAATGTTATATTCTTCTTAAAATTATTGGCCAAGTAGTTTAAAAATAAAGCAATTTTTTCGAAAACATATTTTGTGGATGTTCGAAAACGTCTTCCTAAAGTGAGCTCCCACAAACATTTTAAGAAATGGATTAAAATAAATGAGACAACTGCAAATAGTTTGAATTCAATATAATTTTAGAAAAATACATGAAAGTAATAAATAAAAAGAATAAATAAAAGTTGTTCTTTGGTATCAAATACATATTTAAGCTTTAAATCTTTTCGATCGCGCAGCCGTCGATCATCATCAGAGCTATCTCGCAGCGTCTGGTTGGAAAACAAAGTTCTGCCATTAATGCAACATCTTATTGATAAGAAATTATCACATATGTATCGCACATAGTCCTTATATTCAAGTGAGACATAAATAACTCATGTAAGCATCTTTTTCCACCCCCGCGCACAAGCCAAGTAAAACATATTACATTACCCTAAATCAATAGTTTGCATTGTCCCCTTCACAATACTGTAATGGTAAGAAGACCAATGAAGTAGGAAAAGGAGGCAACTGATAATATACACTTGGAAAACTTTGCATTTCACTGTTCGCATTAATGACCGACTGTCCAGCAAAAGTGAAGATGAAGACACTACCACTTGACTGACTTGCAAAGAACTACAATTTCAGTACGTTTCCAGAAGGCAACAGCATTCTACAGAGCAGCAAATCAAGGAGCTCGCATTAGGAACGGGGCTCGTGTTTGGGTTCTTTCCTCTACGAAAGTTAAAACGGCGAAAGTTACAACAACGAAAGTTGGACGGGTCTCGTAAACGGGATGGAAATAGAATAAAGAGATTTAACATGATGTACACGGAAACCACTACAGACTTCACTTGTGTAACGTACATTTCCATGAATAATAGACATTGTAATTTCACGCGGTTTCATTAAACCCCAAGGATTCGTTTTTTAATATTTTATATCGATACTGAGTATCTATTAAATTTTGTAATCATAGTATTTCACAAGCGCATACATTGAAGTTTGACAACACGATGTAACATAGTTCAAAAATTTCATAAGATCTGTATTATAATAGTTTATTTTAAAAGTTTCGTCTTACAATTATGTATATTTAAAATTTCATTTCTTTTATTAGGTTTTTAGATGAATGTTTTACAATATTTCTTATTCTCATTGTATCACTGTATGTAATTTAACATTATTTTCTGTTTGAAAGGCTATTTTTTTAAAAAAAAAGATGGCAAAGTACAAAGAAAACTATTTATCAAGAAATTGAATAGGCGGGTTTATAATATAATATTAATATTTCACGTCAGTGTTGCCCAATATGCAGGTTTCGTTTTGTGTTGGAATAGCACGGAACGCAACAGGTGGATACGACAGGCGCCGAGATTTCGCACGTTGAGATGCCGATAAGACAATATGCGTCCGGTTGGATGCGCAGTCCAGGAAGATAAAGCCCGCTTCAGTAAATATCCTCTACTCCCACTTCCTGCGATACGGTCACATGCACGAAGCCGTTCTCATAACAATCTGACTCTGATCCCTCATAGCACAGATTACAATCAAGGTTACTACGCAGTATATCCTTGATGATACACGGTCACGATTTCGGATGAATGGGAAATTGAACTCATGTACTGTAATTTGGAACGTCGAATTAAGTGGAATCCCAGTGATCACAAGATTGGAATTAAGTGGAATCACAAGATGGAACTAGTGTTCTTTTAAAATAAAATAAAAAATTAGCGCGTAATGACATTTTACAAAATTGAAAATGACAGTGAAAATAAGTAAGAGAACAGAGTCTAATAGTGAAAAACGAAACTTAATTATACCATTGACAATACAAAACATATATGTGAGTCAATGAATTGCCAAATAGTTTTTTAAAATTGCAGAAATCCTCAAAAGAGGGAATATTTAACTATCCTGAACTCTTGCGATTGCATCGCACAAAATAATTATAGAAAAATTACGATAGAAAAATTCAAAATATGCACTGGGAGGGAAATCGAAAACCTCAAAACGTTGTTTCATGAAGTTCAGAACTTATTCTCTATAACTAATAAAGTGATGATGATGGAAGTTTACAAACTCTGGAATAATGTCACTATTCTCTGTGAACATAAAGTTAAACACTTCTCTGAAAATGTAATTGAAATGTTTTATATATATTAGTATCTCTACATGTATGTTGCAGTGGTCTCTAAGAGGGATTTCTGCTCTGATTATTGAATAAAAACGTAATACACTATAGCACATTTTTTGGAAAACGGGACATGTATCAAACTATTACTGGATATTACATTTGTATAAGTGAATAGACTTTGCAAGACTCTCAATCTTCAAACTCAAAAAGCTCTCTATCCTCCCTTCGCTGTCTATTACTTCACGAAACGTCGCCGGCTTTTGATTGATCATTTGCCACTCGCCAAACACTGATGACCAACTACATTCCAGGTAAACAATGTAGTTGGTCTTGAATTTGACATAATTTGACTAGTGGTGCTAAAACAGCACGTTCTTTCTCGGCCTTACTTCATGCAAAATTACGCGAAAAGTTCTCAAATTTTCGAAAAAAAGTACATATATGTGTAAGTGGCTTTATTACAAAATCTTCGAGGAACAGATTTCATTAAGGGGAAAATCTCTATCTCACTAATCGTAGTTGTAGGAAGACGCACAAAAAGTGTGAATTTTTGCAATTTTTGAAAAATCAGTGTTTTTAACGAACATGCGGCATGCACCATTCTGTTAAACGTTCTACATGCTATTCAACATTAAAATGTAATAAAATACCGCGGAGTCATTTCTTTGAAAATTTGGAAAATGTTCCATGGTCTTCATGTAAAGTACCCCCAAAATTAAAATATCAGTTTCAAATTCAATATCAATTTTGGAGAAAATCGGCTGAACTAGCATTGTTCTGAGACCAACATACACCACGAGGACTGTTTTTGTTTAACTTTAGCAAGTAGATTTATCAACTTTTTCGTTATCAGAGTTTTGTTATCAGAGGATAATAAGAGTTTCTTTGCCGAAAATTCGCCGTTTTTTGCGCAGAATTATATAATTTTCTCTCTACTCCATAGTGAGAAAGTAAAAATTTACGTATTGTAGACTTTTATAGCACCTAAAAGTCCGTTCCCTAATGATGATAACTTCTTTTTGGATAAGACCAATAATTTAAATTTACGAATTTTTTCAGCAAATAATTCGACAATGCAAACTACTCCATAAAGTAGATGTTTAGTTTCATTATGTGGTTCAATTGCTGAAATACTTCATACAGCTTGTCATGTAAAAGAAGCAAACACTTTTCCTCTTTTTCAGTCAAGCGAAGTACATGTCAGGAAAATCACTCCACTCAAGTGTTTTCCCTGTTAAATTAACCTTTTAAAGTGTAATGAACATCAACAATTGAGTGCAGATCGATAACTTGAACAAGGAAGTTTAGATTTTCGTTTCAATATTGATGTTATTTGTAATTTTTGGCGATGTCGCAAGAAATTTGGCGAAATTAGTGTCACAAGAATCTATAAATTTAAAACACCAAGTTTTCGTTTACAAAGAAATTTGAATATTGTAGTCAGCCAATTTTTGTGATGTTAGTTTTAAATGAATGGTAGTGGGTACTAGATTGCTATCAGTTTCTCTTATTAATAGGCTTCATTTCCTTTTCAATGTGGCATTGCTTTTGAAATTGGTGATTTTTCGATGGTATCTTTCAAAGAGTATGATGATATCTTAACTTATTAGATAAAAGCAATAATGAAATTTAAGAAATCGCAACATACAGTACAGACAAATTTTATCAATCTTTTGAAATAAATAGAATTAACACTAATCTGCCACCAATTTCTCGCTACGGGGAAGAGAGAAAGTTATGTAATGCTGCGTGAAAAAATGGCGAATTTTCTGCAGAAAAACTCTTATTACGTGGTAACGAAAAAGTGTATCCACCCAGCGATCTCTCTCTACGGCGGTGCACCGCCCCAGACGGGCGCTCTAAGCTCCCGACAGGTGTCACGACGTGAATGGTAGGGTAGTGCATGTAATTGTATGAGTTAATGTAGGGCAAGGAATGGGAAGGAAAGATCGTTCGCTGTCGTTGGCTCGTTTTTTAAGGTTTATTCAGGCAATCGCCTGGGTTGATCAGAGAAACCATGGAAAACTACTGATCAGAGCAGCCGGCCGCTTGAATTCTCCTCCAGACAGCGTCTGAATTCGATCTAGCTCTCTAGCTAGGGTCGGTACTAAATGTCACCGTCGAGTTTGGACCGTGGGGCCGATGGCTGCCGAGCCACGTAAGGCGGTCTCGGTTCGAGGACCGGGGCCGAAAGGCGTCGGCGGGGTGGGTGTGGGCGGAGCCCCGGGCGTGGCTCAGGGCCTTCCGGCTGCGCGGCCATCCGTCTCGGCGCCGCGCCCCGCCCCGCCCCCCGCGGAAGCCGCCTCGCTCGCTCGCTCGCTCGCTCGGGGGCAGCCGGCGTGAAAGTGCGAAGGCGACACGCTGCACTGACTCTTTGTTGTAATCAATGTTCCATGCCCACCGCCATACAATTTAAAATTATCGGTTGATCACATTCGTTGGACAATTTTTTCTTCCATTTACGAACAAGAGTAGTATGTGAGTGCCTCTTGTAAATATATCCAGTGGTCGCTGCTCTCTGAAATTATAAATAATACTCATAGAAATATTTGCTCTATTAATAATGTTGTCAATGAAAACATAACATTGACATTGTAATTGTTGTTCCTAACAATAATATATTGGAATGTAAATTGTTTCACTGTTCCGGCGGTCGTCAATCGTTCTGGCTTCATCGCGCAGAGAATCATTTTTTTGGGGCAAGCCGGCGGATGTTTGGGTTGACCTAATCATATCTCATATCTGTGGTAAGATAAACGTGACACACGGTTGTAGAAAAATCACAGGGGGGCGTAAATGTCGGTTTTGTAAAATACTAAGGAGGGTAGATTATGCCCTTGTGCATATAAAAATTCTTACCAAAATGACTCATGTGCTGCAAATAGTTCCAGGTGTTAATACAGCAGTTTTTATACGCGATTTGTCCTCCCAGAATTTTGATCGGTATATGGAAACGAAGTTGATTAGAGATGTTCGGCGGCTTCGGATCAAGAGGCGATTACCATGGATTGGCAACGGAAGATAAGATCCGTAGGCGGATGCGATCACGCGACGAGAGTAATTCAGACGATGGCTTTTGTGCAACGCGCAGGGGCGGATGGCAATTCTAAAACGTCACTGGGTAATGACAGTATTGTGCTACCGTAATGATTATTTCAAAGACGAAAATAATAGCGAAAATAATGGTAGTAAATGTATTCAGGTATGGCTAGTGACGAAATCTTAGCATTTGACAGCAATTTTGATAACGAAGAGAAACTTTAGAAGCGAAGGTCAATTCTAACGCAATGATGGAGATAGCACAGCTAGTTGTGTCGGCATTATTGGCAGAAAAACGCGATATGGTACGAAAAACGCGACGATAGTATTGATAGTGTGTTGTCGGGAATGCCGTAGTGATGACAAACGATGCAATATTCTTTCATTCAAATCCGTAATGTCGGAGAAACTAGAGCACTTCTAATGCGCTATTGCCATCTAGTCTCAATCAAACATTTATCAATTAGTAGAAGTGAATGCATCGTTAGCTTTTAACATTACATAATAGTTACGAAATATTTACGAAAAATGTATTTCTGTAGCGGTAATTGTTTTTCTTTGCTTCATTTACGATGTGAGATCTCTGCCGAGTAGCAGGATCTCAAGAACATTTCCATGACCTTCGGCGCTTAGCAAGGAAGGCGGAAGCAATACACATTGTATGCCCACGGGAATAAGGGAGTTGTCGTATGGATAATGCGATTGTCACAGATAGAGAATAAATGGAGGTCAGATGTTCGAGATGTGAGATACAATAATCTTATCCAGTAAGTCTTCCAGCCATGGTTTCAAGATTTTAGCTATTACAATAAACAATTTATCTGCTTTGTAAGTTCATTTAGATAACTACGTCGTGGTTTGTCAACCTCGAGAAAAGAACTTTGTAACATTGTTAATACTTTTTGTTTTATAACCTGTCAAGAAAATTCTTGCAGACTGGGAGAACATTAAGAGCGAGAGATATTATAGAGCTTTAAGATTGAAAACATGGTCTATGGTATTGTAAAGGAAATAATCTCCACAAAAATTTTAATAATTTTATTAACAATTTTCCATAGCTAACCTTCGGGAAACACTTTTCCCATCCTCAGTGGATCTCTAGGAAAATGGAGAAATGAAACAAATCTAAGTTGACCTCAAAACGGGTGGGTGGGTGATTTATTAAATTATTTGTTTTTCCACTAAATTCACTGTACCTCCCCCCCCCCGTTTTGTGTTCAACTTAGGTTTGTTTCATTTCTCCATTTTGCTAGAGATCCACCGAGGATGGGAAAAGTGTTTCCCGAAAGTTAACTATGGAAAATTGTTAATAAAATTATTAAAATGTTTGTGGAGATTATTTCCTTTACAATAACATGGATTACCACAAGATATCTGCTACCACCACGGAATTTATGGTCTATTTTTTCTATGGATGTGATAGCATCCAACTGCAGCCATTTTTAAAGTTCGAAGTTGACCAATAGTAGTGTTTACTCGTACACTTCCACCTGGTACATACGCCCACATTGTACCAGGGAAGGTAATAAAACATGAATTGCTCAATTAGTCGAAAATACGAATGTTTGCATTTGCCCGTTCATCGGATCAGGTCTCGCTGCCCTCGCCTCCCCTCCTCCCTCACACGGCTCCCCTCCTCGCCTGTGGCCCGTGCAGCGTCGCGCAGTCCCAAACGAACTCGCGGGCTCGCCGGGCGTGACGCCAACCGCCTCTCGGTGCCTCGTCCCGAGGCTTTTGACCGCAGCCCTCGCTGCAGAGCGAACGCATCAACCTGGTCTTTCTGATGGGTGTCGGGACCTCGTAATGTACCGAGTAAATTGTACAAGCATATTATTAATGTACACAAAAGTGTATGAAAACTAATGAAAAGTAAAATTTTAATTAAGGGACTTAACATTTTAAAAATAAATAATAGCAATTTAAAGGGGCACCCAGAGAAAACAAGGGACCTGGCTAGTAATCCATGGGGGCCTTCATTTCCAACCAAAGTTCCCCTTATTTATTATTAACATTAATTATATTTCAAAGTGAGGCATCTTTTAACTACAAAAATGAATTGAAGGATATAGATTTGTATAAAGTTTCGGTGCCTCTAGAGCACAGGGGGCCTGGAGCAAGTTGTCCCAGGCTATATATTATTTTATTTCAATATTTATTTCAATTATTATTCTAAATGAAAGATCCGTTCTGATACGCCAGCACAAATAGTTTGCTGCGCCACCGCCTGGAGCGTGTGCGCCACTTCCTGGAGCAGACAAGACAGTAGATAACACGTTTTTACCACCAGTAGGTGGTATTGTATTGATGATTAAGAAGCGTGTTTAAGCTTATGAACAAAATAAAACATTGTACTCCATTTCCTGACCTGTTTAATTTCTGTAATAATGTTTCATATCAAACGATTCTCAGGAAGTGGATAATGCAAGGAATGCCACCGAAAATATTAAACGTTCATCGAAATGTTCGAATGGTAGGAAATATGTGATAGTAACATTTATATCTCGGCTTCATATCATCACCAAATGTTCTCTCGCAGGAAAGAAAAGATTTGAACTGTTTGATATTGCCACTGCATGAAGAATCCTAAGGAAGATATAATAAATGCCAATATGATGAGAAAAAATCTTATGAAGATAAAGTTCTTTAACACAAACATTTGTGAGAATTGACAAACCGGTACAGTTTTCTTCCGTCTTCTTCCGAATAATCTCTAATCTTTGAGACGAACAATGCGTTTAAGTAAAAACTACTTTATAAATACAAAGCAGAAAATATATAACTCATAGAAATTACCATACTTTTCAATTTTGTAAAATCAGGTCTAGTTCGATACCATCCATTCACCTGTGGTAACAATATTTTCTACCCAAAAATCACCAATAACTTTTAACAATATTTCTATGAGAAACCACTAATGTAAAAACAGAATAATCTTACGTAAAATCACTTTTTTTGAGTGCGCGCTATCAGTTGTCTTGTTTAGCAGTAACTGAAAGGGAACTAGGATTTATCCAGCACGACACCTCTCGCGAAGCATACGAGTACATCAGAGAGCGGAGGACACATTCGAGAGCGGGGCTCTGCGCAGACCCCGGAAGTCACGCGGGTGGCCTGCGGAGGCCGCTAGGGCGGCGCGAGGCGTTCGACGCCTGGTGGCTGGGCTGCCGGCAGCTGCAGCTGCAATGATCTCGCTGCGAGGAATTGTCGATTGACGGCGAAGGCCGCGCCGAGTGGAGAGAGGGCACGCCAGTAAGCCTGTGCCGTGTTCAGGTGTCTCAGTCTCTCTTTCCAGACTATCCGCGCTGGGTACCCACTGTGCCCCTCACTCAGACACACTTACGGGCTCCTCGGTTTGTGTTCAGCAGACTCATAAGGCCTTCCGCGACAACGCACACAAAATACAAGGGACAAACAGCCACGACAACGCCTGGCCTTGAACCCGTGGCTCTTCAGACAAAAGTCCTGAGTCGGCACACGCTCTAGCCACCTCGCCCACTTAAATCGGCACTGTATACACTGTATGTACCCTTCTGATAATATCTCACTTAAAAAGATGAGATTTCTAGGCAGGAATAAATGCAAGATTTTTTACAGCTAAATGCGAATACATCGGTACACAAAAAAGAGAGGTGTGAAAAATAAGTTTTCATTATGTGAAGAAAATTTTAAAAATAATTATTTTTGCTTGCAAAAATTTTCTCTTTGACACAAAATGAACTGTTTAATCAAATTAAAATCGTTCCCCAGCGGAATGACAATGACGTGTCCTTTTCTTGAACACCAACTAAGAGTAAAAGATGTTCGATAAAAATGTATTTGATTATTTCAAGCTGCATGGCAAAGACGTCAATAGAACAGAGTGTCGTACACGCATTTAAAATCGATGCTATTCAAATTCAAACATAGTAAAACTTAAAACTACGTTGGTCCTATTACAATAACGCTCTGTCCTTCACCGCTTATGGCAATGGCGGGATTACCTCGTTATCCAACCTATGAGGTGTTTGCAGCACAAGTAATTTTAGTACCCAATATGATCAACAAAAACGTTTCAAGGTGAAAACATGTAACGAACGGGTAACCATGAAGAACTGTTATGTGACACCATAATCGTCCAGAAATTTCAAACATGTAACAAGGAAGTTCTTACATGTAACTATGAAGCATACGCATATTAAGCATTTTTCGGTAGACCTCCAGTGTGACGTCAATAACATTTTTTTCTCACAGTGAATTCAAAGAACACATTACGGACAAAAAACTGAAATTATAAATACATTCATTACAAGGAAATTGAAGCAAACGTATCGTTTTCAATTTGTATGGTTCCCTATTAAAACAAAATTGTGAAATTATAGTTACATTAATTTACTAAAACAAAAACAGCAAATGTTCTCGAGAACACAAAGAACTCTTTCGAAAAAATATTCCTTATTTAAAAACTACTTTCCCTTCTCCCTTATTTAAAAACCAACACGAATATTGTGAATGCATGAATTAATTTACACCTGCTACACTACTGTGCCATCTTCAGACCCGCCCTAATAGATATCTGAGAAGACGGCGCAGCGACAGATCGGAGGGTGGGGAAGAGAGCGTGTTGCGGAGCGATAAGATATCGCCCCGCCGACCTTCGCCCACCCGCGCCGCGGCACGCGCCCGCGATCGCGAAGGCCGCCTCCGCCTCCACTACCGCCTTCGCCGTTCACTTCCGGGCGACGTGCAACCGAGAGGTCGCAAATGGCAAGCGGCGCCTCGTGGCCGGGATACGAACCCGGAACCGCGGAGGGAAGATACCTGGAAGCATTCACTGCCTCTTCGTCGAAACACCCGTTCACGCGAACATTAGGTGGGGACAAACAGCTTGGCGGCCCGCGAAAACTTTCGCGTCAAATCCAGTAAGAACCGCCTGTTGCAGGTTCACGAACAACGCTCACCGAGTTTAAAGCATCCACTGCCAGGCAGCGCCACCAACCGCGACAACGACCGCGCGCTCTGGCGGCCACTACTGTGAACTACGTCGGACGGTTACAGCATAGACACCTCGCTAGCGGCGGCACCTGTCGGCAATCGACTCACCTGTGTCGTTCTGGCCGCGCTGGGGGTCGCCTCCAGCGCCTCCTTCGGGCTCGCTCGGCGTCGCTGCAACAAGAGAGAGAAGCGTTCTTCAGGGCGATGGCCTCGCTCGGCGGCAGCGGCCGCGTCGCTCGGAGCAGCGCGGGCGGCGGGGGCGAAATCACAGGCGAGCACGCGCACGGTAGTCAGTGTGAGCGGTCGTGCTCTGAGGCCGCGGCCTCGACGACGACGGCGGAGGCAGCGCGAGCGGTGCACGGCTGAACCTGCGGCAGCGAACAGCCGTGTTCGACGCCGATGCCACGCTCCGGGTCGAAGCGGTCGAGGATGAGCACGCCGTTTACTTCTTACCATCGCCGCAGCCGCCGCCTCCGCCGCCGCCGCCGTAGGCAAATGTCAAGGCAGACACCACTTGCTCCGCGCCGGAGCCACGCAATTGTATACGTCGTGCTAGGAACGTGTTACCGGGTGCACGTCCCGGACACGGCAGAAGCGTCGTTAACATCACTCACCGGGGGGCGTCCGTCCCAACATATCGTTGCTTTTCGCTCGGCACTCGTTCGCTCGCCCGGCATGTCCGGCTCGCACTGACCACTAGCGTCACTAACTACGTCGTCAACTCTGCCGCCGCCGCCAACGCTCGCTGTCTTATCTCGGGGCCGAGGCCACGAGGACAGCGAGCGGCGGAGGCGTCGGGGGGTCCGGGGGCGTTTTGTTTGAACGCGGCACATTTGAAAGCGCGCACTCGGTACGCGGAGTGCCGCGCGCGTGCTCGCCACCCAC